TGGCAGAGTCTTGCTTTGTTGCCCAGGCTGGAGTCCAGTGGTATGATCTCAGTTCACAGGAACCTCTGCCTTCCGGCTCAAGCAATTCTCCTGCCTCAATCTCCCAAGTAACTTGGGTTACAGATGCCCGCCACCATGCCTGACTAATTTTTGTATTTTTAGTAGATACAGGGTTTCAGCATGTTGGCCAGGCTGGTCTCGAACTCTTGATCTCAAGTGATCCATCCACCTTGGCACCCCAAAGTACTGGGATTACAGACATCTAGGCACTGCACCTGGCCTAATTCTGAGTCTTAAAGGTCGACAGACAAATTTGTCTTTGAGTGCCTTAATTTTACCTAAATTGCCCAAATGCCTCATTGGTGTGTTGAGTGCCTTTTCTTCCTGCTCTTACCCTAAGACTTTCTTAGTTTTCAATGACACAGATTCTATGAATTCCCTTAATTTATCACTTCTATTCTTTGTTGTCATGTTTACATGTTTAGGTTAAATCTTCGTGAACTTGGACCCCTGGCATCTCATATGCGTTGGTTTATCTGGCTCATGGCTGCTGGAGGAACCATTTATGTATTTCTCTACCATGAAAAGTAAGAGAAAATAATTTACATTTGATAGTTTTAAAATCAACTGCCTAAATATTACCTGCATTGGAATACAAATTATTTTTATTTGTACTTCAAAATAGTAGAAATACATAAATAGAATGTTATTTTTAATAAATCTTCAAAACCGTTTGGTATTCATTATTAGTGGAAAGATTGCTGTGGAAAAACAGAGTGGTACAGGTGGTATGATACAGTTGAAGGAACATTGTGACCAGCCCCTCTGGAGTCCATCAGACTTCATTTCTTTATCATGAGACAGACTGGCCTTATCCTCTGTGATTCAGTCATCATGTGAGAAAAACAGCAACTTTTCAAGGTGTCTATGAAGATTGGAGAGAACAGATATTAAGTGCCCCGGACAATACTTACCTAAAGAAGGGCCTAGACTGTATTCCAAAAAGGGTATCTTGAGAAAAAATATGTTGGGAAGGACATTGGAACTCTTAATATCCTAGCCCTGGGGTATAGCTTTTTAGCCAGTTATTCATAGCTGATAGTCCTAAGTATTGAGCAATGTAAAAACAAAAGCTTATTGAAATTTTGCATCTTTGCTCTGGAGGAGACCTTCAAGGTCCCCAATTCCAGCTCCATGAACATTTAGGATATGCATCAAATTAGTGACTCATCTGGAAATTAGGACCCAAGCGTCCCAGTTCTGATTCCATTGCTCTTTTCATTACCCTATATGTTTGAATTTGAGAAATGCACAACTGTGAAGTCTTTGTCATTGGGTTTATTTACAGTTCATTAAATTCTTTCTCTATTGTGGTTGGCAGAATGGCTCTCAGAATTGAACATAATTTGTGTTTATCAGAAAGTACTAAATTGTTTTTCCCTTTCAGAAAGAGAAAATGGTAGTTTTGACTAATCTCTTTTTTGGCTCTGAAATTCATTTAAATACCTTTTTGACCATAATTAGCAATGCTGAGTAATGTTATGTATTATAGTATACGTAAGTCCAAGGGAACAGTTTGCGTCTTATTATTTATATCCTTGGATAAAATAGGAAGTCAAGAAAGGCAGCTATCTTTTCTCCTCTTCCCAGCCTTCTGGTGTAAACAAAACCCATAAACGCATTCTTCCCCTATATGATTAGTTCATGGTAGGCTTTGAGTATAAAACATGGTGAATGAGGTATGAGTCACCCTTGGCCATTCAGTTTGGCAGACATTAGGGAGTACCTAAATTGTGTCACGTACTATTCTAGGATTTACAGATCAAAACATAATTAAATCTTAGTTCCTGCCTTTGAGGAGCTTACAGTCTGCTTTGATTAGGCTGAAATGTAATTTGAATTTCAATACAATGTGTTTCTTGGGGTTTTTAGATTTTTTTTGTAGTCTATGTGATGAGCCTTAAAAATTACAGTTTTGTGCAGGTGCAAACTAAAGAGACAAACAAAATTACATGTTCTTTCCTTAGGGCTGCTGTTCTTTTTGCTGGTAAACTAGGCTCCAGGCTATATCTCCTCCCATCTTCAGAATTTCACTTATAGCTCTGGATTGGAATGCTAATGAAAGCAAACACTCTAGGATCAGAATAGGAAATATTTTACAAGGTGGAGCAGATTCAAAGATAATTACTTTTGGCAGATAATTACTTTAGGTAGCATGTGGGATTTGATGCCTTTTCAACCCTGAAAGAAATGCTAGTTCCTTGTTACTCAATTACCGTGTTTTAGTTAGAGGCCTAGTGGTTGCCTATGAGAAATAACATTTTATTTGAATAGTTCAGAGCTTACATTTCTTTCTCAAAAGAAAAAAAAGGAAAGGCTAGTATGTAAATAGTTAGGTGTAATAGAAATGTGTAAGTTAAATTAACTGCATTTCCATTCCTGCAGGTATAAGGTGGTTGAGCTCTTTTTCTATCTCACAATGGGATTCTCTCCAGCCTTGGTGGTGACATCAATGGTAAGACATGGCTTCAAAATTTTAGTTATTTTCTTTTAAACTGCTGGAATGTAATATGATTATAGATACGGTATTTAGCTTTTCTTTCCGAAGTTATGTCCATTAAGTAGAGACTCGAAAAAAAAAAAACTTATAAACAATGAAGTGTTTAGCTGGACGTGGTGGCATGTACCTGTAGTCCCAGCTACATGGGAGGCTGAGGCAGGAGGATTGTTGAGCCCAGGAGGTTGAGGCTGTGGTGAGCCATGTTCATGCCACTGCACTACAACCTGAGCAACAGAGCAAGACCCTGTCTCAAAAAAATAACGAAGTGTGCCAGCAACTCATCAGCTTGCACTAGGTACCATGTACAGTTTGGGAAAGCTATAAATTTAGGTATCTTTCTGTCTTTACAGTACTTTCCTGAATTAGAACCAGAGTAGGTTCAGAGAGATGTTTTTCAAATCCCTTTAATCTTACTTTTCCTTTGCTTTGCTTTTAAGTCATAAGTCAAGCACTTTTTTTTGTTTGTTCTGTTTTCTAAGGCAAGCACTTTTTTTTTCCTTTCACTTTGCTTGAAAATTATCTTTTGGGGATTTTTGTGAGTGAGGTATAACATTACCTGTGGTGGGCAGTTGTGGTAGGCAGTTGCATGTAAATATTTTGAATTCCCTTTCAAATTGAATTACTGTTGAGTGTCTACGCCTATCTGTCTTTTTGAAACAAAAGTATATTTTTACAACTTCATGGTTCCATCCACTTGGTTACCAGGTCTTTAGCTTATGTATTCCAGTATCTTAGCCTCTACATTTTTTGTCAGTAGACACTATATTAACTAAGTAGGTCCCAATGTGTTTAGTTTGAACTCTTCTGAGACTACAGTGGTCAGAAGAACTGTTCTTATGATTTTAGGCACATTGTAAGGACCTTTTTTTTTTTTTTTTTTGAGACAGAGTCTCGCTGTGTCGCCCAGGCAGGAATGCAGTGATGCAATCTTGGCTCACTGCAACCTCTGCCTTCTGGGTTCAAGCTATTCTCCAACCTCGGCCTCCTAAGTAGCTGGTATTACAGGTATGTGCTGCAATGCTTGGCGGATTTTTTTGCATTTTTAGTAAAGACAGGGTTTCACCATGTTGGCCAGGCTGGTCTTGAACTCCTGAGCTCAGGTGATCCACCTGCCTCCGCCTCCAAAAGTGCTGGGATTATAAGCATAAGCCATTGCACCTGGTTGTAAGAACATAATTCTGTGATAGTTTTTTTTTTTTCCTGGTCACACAAACACCTATAAAAGGTTTAACAGTTTCAAACCTGGTTCTGTTTTTTCAGGAAATATGTCTTACAAGAATATAACAAAATACATTTCTTTGAGATATGAGGTTTATGATGGCTTTAATAATTACCTAGCACCCAAAATACATATAGATGGTAAAAGCAACAGGGAATGGTAAGGAGGAGGAGTTAAGTGACAGAAATGCGAAAGTCAGCCTTGAAGGCCATGTAGCTAGAGGGCATTTCAGGACACCCAAAGCAATATAAGCAAGGTCTATGCAGCCTAATTATTAGAGTAGAATTTCAAGCAAATTCCCTCTGGGTATCATAAGAGCAGGTTTATCCAGTAATTTTACTAGCCTGATTTTTTCATTGACATTTCCATAAGTGGTATAACAGCAGGTGACTAATGTTTATGATAATCAAGCAGGATGATCCCCACTCTCCCTTCATAGAACTTAGAGTCAAGCAGGCAAATATAGTTCCTATTAAAGAAAAAGGTAACATGAAATTTTATAAAGTATTTGATTGGGAAAAGTTCAGGCTGCTATGGGAGGTTGACAGAAGTGCCAGAGGAAGTGATATTTAAGCTGATTTGGAAAAACATGCAGGAGCCAAGAGATGGTAGGGGTGAGGCAAATGTTACAGGTACAGAATACAGCATGAAGGAAGCCCAGAGAGGGGAAAGCACCAGCATTTTTGGATAAATGAAAATAGCTCATTGGTTGTGATATAAAATACACGTACCAGCTTGAGTTATGTACATATGCATGATGGGGGCAGGTATGCAGGTAGCACAAGTCTTGTAATAAAGCTGGAGAGCTAGACAGAGTCCTGATCAGACCTCATAAGCCACTAACAAAGTAACAGAATGAATGAAGATGCAAATCTTTGGTTTTGGCCAGAATCATGGGTATCAGACTTACCCTTCTGCCATAAAGAACTGGAAAACTGGAAAAAGAATAAAAGCAATGTTTTTTTGGCTTTAAACACAAACAGTACAGGACTGTGATTCTTGAGGGAAGAGAAACCAAGAAAATGAACTTTGAATTCACCCTAGTTGCTTCCTTAGAGACACTTTCCAAACAGCAACAAGAGGTAGAACCCAGAGAACAGCAGTCTGGGTGGAAGAAACAGAAATTACACTTCAGGCTGCTGACACGGCTGCAGGCTGCGGCTTGTGCAAGAGGAGGCAGCAGCTCCACAAACTGCAGATGCAGAGAAGATGCTTCAGAAATCTAAAAAGCAGTTTCCTTCAGTCTTTGCCCAGATATCAAGCTGAATTTGTACAGAGCAAAACTCTGTAAGCTCCAGCTGCGAATAACTCTTAGAAGGCTGGAAGATAAATGGAAATTCCAGACAGTGCCCAGGTGCTGGGAGACACTGGAATTCCAACCAGCCAGAGTTCAGAAATGGTTCTGGACATCCCAGGAATTCAGTTGATCCTGCCAAGGCTACAGCTTAGGAGTAGAGCTACTCTAGCCCTAGAGAGAGGGCTACTCTAGAACTGCCATAACAAGGCCCAAACCAATCTTGGAGGGATAAAAGTGATCCTCTAGTAAATAAGCCACCTAACAGAGCAAAACTCAACAATTTTTAAAGGAATATAACAGAATCTTTACTGTAACAACTTAGCACAGGTAAATATTACCGTAAGTACATAGTAATATTATCAGAAATACATAATATAATAAAATAAATAATAAATATAAAATAAATGAACATTACCAGATAGGCAAGAAACTGGAAAATGACATATACCTAGACACAGATCAAAAGATGGGAGAGGTGTTGAGATTTCTACACAGGGAGTTTAAAACAGAAGAGGAATCTCACAAAATACATGGAGACTGTGAAGAAGAATCCACATGGAAATTCTAGATCTGAAAACTGATGTCTTGAGAAAAAAAAACTATTGGAGTGATTTAATAACAGATTGGATACTACAGAAGCAAAGGTCAGTGAACTTGAAGCCAGGTCAGTAGGAACTATACAAAATGAAGCATGAGAGAAGAGTGATTTAAAAATGAACAAAAGGGGCCGGGCGTGGTGGCTCAAGCCTGTAATCCCAGCACTTTGGGAGGCCGAGGCGGGTGGATCACGAGGTCAAGAGATCGAGACCATCCCGGTCAACATGGTGAAACCCCGTCTCTACTAAAAATACAAAAAATTAGCTGGGCATGGTGGTGCGTGCCTGTAATCCCAGCTACTCAGGAGGCTGAGGCAGGAGAATTGCCTGAACCCAGGAGGCGGAGGTTGCGGTGAGCCGAGATCTCACCATTGCACTCCAGCCTGGGTAACATGAGTGAAACTCCATCTCAAAAAAAAAAAAAAAAAAATGAACAAAAGAAGAGATAGAGATTGGGGCAGTTTTTTGTTTTGGGATTTTTTTTTTTTTTTTAAGAAATAATAGTTACAACTTTTCCAAACTGATGAAAAATATCAATCTGAAGCTCCGCAAAGCACAAGGAGGCATGAATAGGATAAACACAAAGAAAACTACACTAAGACACATTGAAATCAAATTACTAAAAAACAAAGGCAAAGAAAAGACCTTAAAATCAGCCATAGAGAGAAAAACAAGCAAGGAGAGGTGATGACCACTGACATTTTATCAGAATTCATGGGAGCAGGAATACAATGTAATGCCACATTTAAAATGCTGATAGGGGCCAGCACGGTGGCTCATGCGTGTAATCCCAGCACTTTGGGAGGCTGAGGTGGGCGCATCACATGAGGTCAGGAGTTCAAGACCAGCCTGGCCAATGTGGCGAAACCCCATCTCTGCTAAAAGTACAAAAATTAGCTGGGCATGGTGGCATGAGCCTGTAATCCCAGCTACTCGGGAGACTGGGGCAAGAGAATCACTTGAACGTGAGAGGTGGAGGTTTCAGTGAGCAGAGATCACGCCACTGCACTCCAACCTGTACAACAGACCAAGACTCTGTCAATAAATAAATAAATAAATAAATAACCAGGATTGCTAGAAATGATGAATTTCTATGTAAACATATGGCTGTTTTTCATGTCTTAATTCCTTCAAAAGATAACATAGGGATTTCTAACTTGTAGAAAAGCACATGGTAACAATAGATGGGGTGGAGAAACGGAAGCACACTGTTTTAAGGGTCTTAACTTTGTGTAGGGGATATGGTAATAAAGGTATATTGTGATGAGTTAAGGATGCCTACTGTAATCCATAGAATAACCACCACCAACAACAACAAAAGCAAAATAAATATTATAGTTAAGTAATCAAGAGAAAAGATAAAATGGAATCCCAAAGTTATTCAATTTAATCTAAAAGCAAGTGGGAAAATTGGAAAAAGGAAACAAAGGTTAGGTGAAACCAAATAGAAAACATAAAGCAAGATGGGAGGCCTAAATACAACCATACCAGTAATTATGTGTCTCATATATAATAACAATTACATGACAGTGGACTGAACACTCCAATTAAAAGGCAGAGATTTTCAGACTGGATAAAAAAGTTATCTGTAAAATGGGGATAATAGTATCTAATTTAGGGTTGTTGTGAAGATTAAATGAATAAATATACGAAGTGCTTCAAACAGTGCCTGGAACATAGTTACCATAATGAGAGTGATAATGAAAAAAATTCTTTTGATACAAAATTAACTATGTTCTAGGTCTTTGAAAAGTGAGGTCAGTGTGGTATCTTAAGAATGCCTGTGAACAGAATGTATGTCAAAACCAACCTGTGTACTTGGTTTGGTCTCTTGCTTGTTTTGGCAGAAAGAAAAAAAAAAGAGGGTATTTTGGAAGAGCGACAACCCATGTGATTTTGTTCAGGCCATTTCACTGCTCTGGCCTTAGTCTCCTCACCTCTGTAATAAGGGGGTTGTGTTAGATGAGTGACTCTTACCATTTGGGAGTCCTGTACCCTTTGTGAATCTGCTGACAGCCTTACCCCTATCCTAGAAAAGGGCTCCTAATACACACACAATAATTTTGTATAATGTGTATTCACTGTTATATTGCTGTATAACCTTGAGGAATTAATAACATGTGTTGTATTTTGTCTTTGTTTTTATTTTTTAAATAAAAATAAATCTGGCTGAAGTCCTTTCTTCCCAAGGTTAGGGAGAAATCTGATGTCAGTCCATTTGGATTGGCTCCTTCTCCATCTTTTGATCTCGCACAAAACATGGGGGCTTCTAAGAACTTTGAAAAAGGACTGATGCACACAGCTGACTCTAGATCCTCACACCTGGTCGTTAGCTCATGATGGTCTATTGTTGCCTTGCTTTTAACTGAGGCCCTTGGGACCCATTCTAAGTAGGTGCCTGAGTTAGAGCTTCCCTTTACTCTTGCTGGACTTGGCCATGGAGACCTAATCCAAGGCTCACCAGGCTGCTACCCAGTGCCCAGGCCTCTATGACACCCACATGCCTGTCCCCTTGCAAGGCCCTGCCATGATCTGCCTTAGGTTTCCCCTCACTCTGCAGAACCTGTCTCCTTTCTATTCCTAGTCCTCAGAAATCCAGGGCACTGACTTGCTTCTTCATCAGCTTCTAAGCATTGCCTCTATTCTCTACCCTCATTCATATAAGCCATTTTAATCTTGTATATGGGCCTTGGTCTTTGAAAACCAAGAACAGCCTAAAAAATTCTTCCTTCTGCTCTAAGACACACAAGAATGTTCAGTTATTGTTAAACTAAGCAATACCCAGGCTCAAAGGCAAAAAGACCTGGAGGCATCTAGAAGGTTAGGAAATATCTTGTACTATAGGATCTATGATCTCAGAGATCGCTTCTAGTTATGACTTTCATGTGTGAGCCTTAAGGAATCTATAAGCTCACATAAGCAGGGGAAGTCTCAAAGAAGCAATCAGTGTAGAACAGTGTTTGAGAAGGACAAAGGGAAGTGAAAACCCTGGCTGAGATGTAAATTATAAATGGAGTGGCTTGGGTCTGCCTTAGTAGGGAAGAAAGCATTTAAAGGGAAAGATGAGATCGAAGGATTGCACTTTATTAAAATGAACTTCCGTGTCTGGCTATGATTGCAGTCTGTTTAGATATGCTGTAAATGAGCAGAATGTTCTACTTTTTCACTGGGGACCTGTAATGTGATTGCTTGCTAAACTCAAGACAGTCAGTCCAAAGGGCAATCCAGGTCAATGACTTTTTTAATGTTTGGTTCATGTTTACAGATCAGGATTGTGTTCACGCAGCTTCTTCATTGTCTTAGAAAATCAAGAGCCTTAGGGGGGAATTAGGTTATCTGTAGCTTGTCACAGCAGAGTAACATCAAACCCTTTTAATTTTCTTTTTCCCTTTTGACAGAACAACACCGATGGACTTCAGGAACTTGCCTATGGGGGTTTAATTTATTGCTTGGGAGTTGTGTTCTTCAAGAGTGATGGCATCATTCCATTTGCTCATGCCATCTGGCACCTGTTTGTGGCCACGGCAGCTGCAGTGCATTACTACGCCATTTGGAAATACCTTTACCGAAGTCCTACCGACTTTATGCGGCATTTATGACCAATCTGTACTAGGTCTCCAAACCAGTATTATTTTAATTATGGCACTTGAGAGTGGGGTGAGAGCTGAACATTGCACAGGGAAAGAAAAAAAAATGAGATAACTGCACTGACTTTCTTTATATCTTTTGAATATAATTACTGTGAAAGTATAAAGGCTGTGTTCTGGAATTTTCCCCCTCACAGCAAATAAATAAGGTAGTGAATTAATTATCCATTCCATTCCACTATCATGAAGGACTCTGAATAGACTTGGCCAACTGATGTTTACAAACCAGAATTTTGTATTTTAGTTTTACAGATTTTACTACATGATTTTTCTAAATTACTATGTCAGGTTATAAAAGTCAGTGCAATAACAAAGCTTCCTTTTTAAGAAGAAAATTGTTTCTATCACTTTCCCATTCACTAGGTAAAGAATCATGAACAGAACTTACACTACTTTTTACCATGTTTCATCTTGGCATAACATGGTTCTTTTTTAAATAGAAACTTTAGTTTTTTGTAAATTTTTTAAAAAACGATTTCATTGAAATGCATCTCTGCGGGTCCTCATTCATGTTGTGAATTTTTGCAGCAAGGAGTCAACATTCCACAAATGAACAAACATTATACCTCTTCTGATAGTTTTATTAAGCATGGAGAAATTGCCAATTTTTAAAACTACAGTTTTCCAAACTTTTTGCCAACCTCTTACTCTGAATTCAGTGCTGCTTTGGGACATATACTTGACCTAGCGTGGTTTACCAGTGATGGAAAAGTATTTTGATATCATTAACTTTTTCAAAAGATCCAACTTTATGCCTTTGCCACATTATCTTCAGGGTCTCTTTCAACATTGGATGAGTATTTTGTCTGTATTTTGTATGTATTGGGGTGGCCATCTGCTGAAACTCCTGAAGAGCATTATATATTACAGTGAGCAGTTGTATTCCCTGTTTGGTGCCCAATGGTTAAGTCATCGTCACTTAGCTTTATATTGTCAGATTGATATTTATTTTAAATTGTGGAACTAGACGCATAAATTCACATTTCTACCTTTCCTTTGCATCTTCCAATATAGTGTGTGTGTGTGGTTTTTTTTCCTAGAAAAATATTTAAAGCCTTGTTTGACAGGTAGAAACTCATGTATCTCTAGTCCATGAGTTATATCCTGGCTCAGTGGAGTGATATTTATGTATAATTTTTACTTTTTTCTTAGTGTCTTATATTAAGATTAACATATTATTAATAGTTGCTTTGCTGATTAATCTCTCTTGTTGGTGTTTTCATAAATGAAATAGCCTTGCCTTTAGATCAGGTGCTGATATTGCCTGTTTCCTAGTAATGGGCTTGATCAGTGGAATTTTTGGTTTGATGATAAGCTTATTAATTGAAATTTTTTACTGATGTGGCTTTAAAAGAGGTTTATTTTGTGTATGTTTAGAACTCTCTGATTCTGATGAATTATATGGGAATGCGAAACAGAAGTGGTATTTGCTGATGAATTAAATAGGCAAGGTACCCAGTGATGACACCAACCAAACCACTCCTATCTGCATGATTCTGAACATCTGGTTGCCTGTTGTTTTACTGTGTATATTTTATTTTTATTATATTAACTTTTTGTGGATTCATTTAAAGTCTCCTCAAAAGTAACACTGTCAAAACCACTAATATATATATGTAAAAACTGTGCTGTAGACTACAATAAAACTGTTACTTGGATTGTTCCACTGTCTCTAAATTAGATGACTGAAAATAATAATGCATATTTAAGAGTTCAAGCTCATCCAGCATCTGTAATTTTTATATGAGTCCTTTTTTTTCTTTTTTTGAGATGGAGTCTCGCCCTGTTGGAGTGCAGTGGCACAATCTTGGCTCACTGCAACTTCTGCCTCCCAGGTTCAAGCGAGTCTCCTGCCTCAGCCTCCCAAGTAGCTAGGACTACAGGTGTGTGCCACCACGCCCAGTTAATTATGTATTTTTAGTAGAGATGGGGTTTCACCATGTTTGCCAGGATGGTCTCAATCTCTTGACCTCATGATCCATCCACCTTTGCCTCCCAAAGTGCTGGGATTACAGGAGTGAGCCACTGCACCTGGCCTATATACTAGTCCTTAAAAAAAAAAAAAAGTCTGAATGGAAAGAAAAACAAATATGTCTTGTCACTTAGAACTTTCTAGTCTACTTTTTAATAATTGAATTGCCAGAGCCAGCTCAAACGTTAATCAACAGACATTTTCAGTTTAAAATATGCTAGTCAGGAACTAATGATTTCAAGCTTTGTAGATGATGTGTCTTTACCAAGAGAAGCTTTTTGGTTTAGCATATTTAATCTATAGGACTGAGGTTACAGGCTTTTATATTACCAACCAGACAAGTATCAGATTATAAACCTAACAACTCTCGGAGTGTCAGATGTCATTCTACCTCTTCTATAGTGCTGGAAACCAGGGCCAGAGAAGTTTAACTGCTTCATCCTAAGTCAGGGAGCTGGAACAGCAGCCAGCTCTATCTGATACCGAAGCCTCCCAATCACTGTATACCACTGCATTTCCAGAGTCAGCAAAAACAAATGAAAAAACTTGAACTGAAAATTCATCAGGCATGGACACAGAAAGAAAACATTATTCACATGGTTTAGAACCTCAATAAGCCCTCAGACAACTCTCCATCAAAATTAGTTTTGAGCATTGAATGTCTTCAAGCATTATTATTCCCAAGAGTTCTGTCCTCTAGGTCACCGAGGTGACCTCATCCATTTCTGGAGTGTCCCCACTATTGTGCTGTCACCTTCTTGGTCAGTATCTCCTGTCTTAAATAATTTTTTTTTTTTTTTTTGAGACGGAGTCTTGCTCTGTTGCCAGGCTGGAGTGCAGTGGCACAATCTCGGCTCACTGCAAACTCCACCTCCCAGGTTCCAGCAATTCTCCTGCCTCAGCCTCCTGAATAGCTGGGACTACAGGTGTGCGCCACCATGCCCAGCTAGTTTTTGTATTTTTTAGTAGAGACAGGGTTTGTTGGCCAGGATGGTTTCAGTGTTGGCCAGGATGGTTTTGATCTTTTGACCTCATGATTCACCCACCTCAGCCTCCCAAAGTGCTGGGATTACAGGCATAAGCCACTGTTTCTGGTCCTTAAACTATTTTCTAAGGACTAAACCTCTCTCTAATCAGCTGCCTAAATGCTCCCAGACATACTGGCTCAAGCCATCCCAAACTGATTTCATTATCTTTCCTCATCCTACCACCAAACCTATTTTCTGAAATTTCCTAACTTAGTTAATGGCATGGCCACAGCCATCTGTTCATTCATCCATCCTTAATTTCTTGCATCCCCCCAGATCCAACAGGTCAGCCAGAACTGTCATCCTGCTTTTCTCACAGCTTCCTGATCTGGTTCCTCACCTCTCTTCGCACTGCAAGGTCCTAAAAAGACCTACTTAGCAGTCATCAGACTACAGCAGCCACCTCCTCATTTGTATCCCTGCCACTGCTTACACCCCTCAAATGAGCTCATCCTCCACACTGTACCAGCATTATCTTCCTAAAATAAAATCTGAGCATGTGTCTCGATGCTCCAAAACTTCCACTGACTATTACCCTATAAGATTCACAGCAGATGCTTCAGCATGGACTCTTCACATGCTGACTCCGCCTGATCGGCCCTCTCCCCAGCTGAACCCCACTTGACATCAGCCCCACTAGTGATTTTCACAGCCTCCCCCACAACACACATGCCCTCATGGTGCTTTTGCAGCTGTGTGTTTGTACCTGCTGTTCCTTGGCCTGAAATGCCCTTACTCCAGCCCCTTTCCCACCTGGCAAATAGTTGCTTATTCCAAGCAGGTGCCACCCACCTCCCTTGTGCCATTGACCAAGCCCCCCCACCCCCAGCATGATGAGTGGTGCCCTCCTTTGACCTCACAGCATTGCTATTCCTTCATGGCCCCTGTCATGGTGCACTGCAATTGTGTTTACTGTCTTTATCTCTGCTCTTGGGGCTGAACTCTTTCAGGCAGAGACAGAGTCTCATCTACTTCTGTTCCTAGCTTCTAGCATAGCACTGGCTCATGACAGGAGTGAAGAAGCTTTGTTGAATGAAAGGGGTGGGTTGAGGGAAAGGTTGGAGAATGGTGCTGTGGAAGGGAAAGACTGAGAATAAAACATTTTTTAGGACAGACTTTCGTTTTAGCAAGTTTATCCTGTCCTTCACAAGCAGTCTTACTGGCTGGAATCTAACTTTCAGCTTCCTTGGCCTTAGAGGCTTTTTTTGACCACAAGGGTCAGCTAGAACATTCGTAGCAACCACAGGAAAGTTGATGAGAAAATGGAGTGTAAATATTAGAAAGTATGTCCTAGAGAAGAAAAAGTCCAGCATGCTTATTGGTGCTTTCATAGAATAACTATCAACAATTTACAAAATTATTTTGGAAAAAGAGCATTTGGCCTAACATTTCCCTCTGGTCCTCTTTTCTGAATATAGCAATAAAATAAATCAAAACAATCGTTCTGCAATTGTTGGGTCTTAGTGCAGATTATACTCAAGAAGCAACAACTTACATTTTTAAAAAATATTTTGAATATTTTTACTCTAAAAATCATACAGCTATATAAAACCCTTTGGAAAATAGAGAAAGCTAAAAATTATCCAGCATTCTCTTACCATAATATATTTTAATATACTTCCAATCTTTTATTTCCCTATTTTTATTATACAGCTGTCAATATGCCACATATGTAATTTTATATACCTTTTCCCACTTATAAACATTTAAAAATACTATTATATCATTCATAGCAAGAATTTTCGGTGATTCCATCATCTTTCAGAACTGGATATACAACCTATTTTGCTTAATCATTTGCCTAACTAGATTTTTTATTATAAACAATGCTGCAGTGAACATACAACTTTGTCCATATTTATGGCTGGGTTTTAAAGGTAATAATAATAAACAATTGAGTGTTTCTTATGTATCAGGTATTGTGCTAGTTTACATGGATTATCTCATTTTATGCTTACAAAAAAAAGTATTATTCTTCCCATTTTACAGATGAGGAAACAAATACAGATGAATGAGTTTTCTTGCCCAAGGTAAGTGGCAGAACCTGAGTGAACCCAGAAACCCTAGAGGCTGTTTTCATTTTCAAGAGAGCAATTCCTGGGGCAAAGGTTTATTAATGGGTTTACCCAAAGAAGACCTTTTAAAAATAGAGCTCATTTCCAAAGCTCTACATTTATACTTGGCCTCTTCAGTTTATGTCTACTCTTCTTACGTGCCAATGAGATGGAGAGTGGAATAGGAAAATCTCCAAAGGAAACTGACCTCGAAGATGCTGGTTCATCTCCCTCCTTGTGCAACAAAATGAAAGTTTCTCAAGGGGCTCCAAGGAATGTTTTTAGTTTAACAAGGTTAGAATTATTGCATTCATGTCTTTCTACTGCTTTTGCTATTTTAAATAGGCAGTGCCAATATGTTCTTACATTCTGTGCCATTCCCACCTACATCCCTGCAATGGATTGGTGGTGTTATTTTTCCAAGAAACAGTGCCACTGTGCACTCTCGCCACTTTGCAAGGGAAGTTAAGCTATTCTCATCAGGGGCCTGTTCAACACAACAGAATGCTTTCTCATTCTGCCATACAGCTCATTATCACTCATACTTTCACTGCAGTCAGACTTGTGAAGTCAAAATAGACTGGCAAGGCATAAGGGGGGCTTGGGAAAGTAGGCTTTGGAGCCTTGCCCTATATCCTGGGAGAGGTCACAGGTCCTTTGCTGTTCTGTGCCAGGCCACACTTAACACACCCAATCTACTGTGTCAGTCACTAAAAAGGTCAGGAAAACGTTTTGATCGCTAGGATTTAGTTCTCTTAAAGCCACACTAGTGTTTTTTGAATCTCATCTATGAGCTGTGTGTTGAGTCAGGGTAGAATCAGACAGCCTGTGACAAATTGGCTGGGTGAGCTTGGGCAAGTTTGGTATTACTTTTGAACTTCAGTTCCTGTCTGCAAAAGGGGTACATCACTTCTCTTGCAGCAAGGTCATAGGGATTAAATAATATATTGAAAGTATCAAGTTTATGCAGTCTGGCATATGATTGACACTGGGTAAATAATCCTAGTGCTTCCTTCCCATATGGCTGAGCTTTTAAAATTATGGTTATAGCCCACCTGGGGATATTTTCCATGTACAAACAACCTGAAGAACAATACCACTCTTAAAATTGTCCTGTGCATTTTCTAGCTCTTACAAATGGTTCTGGATCAAATGATGGCCAAGGCTAAACTGAGGCATGTGGTCACTCCAGGCTTTCTAATAATTTTGCATCATTTTAAACAATGTTCTTTAAATAGTCAACTTTTTTTTTTAGACAGAATCTCGCTCTGTCACCCAGCCTGGAGTGGAGTGGCACTACCTCAGCTCACTACAACCTGCACCTCCCGGGTTCAAGCGATTCTCCTGCCTTAGCCTCCTAAGTAGCTGGGACTACAGGTGCACGCCACCACAGCCAGCTAATTTTTGTATTTTTAATAGAGACAGGGTTTCACCATGTTGGCCAGGATGGTCTTGATCTCTTAACCTCACCCTGATCTGCCCACCTCAGCCTCCCAAAGTGCTGGGATTACAAGCATGAGCCACCACGCCCAGCCTGCATTTTTAGCAGAAACGGGGTTTCCCTATTTTGGCCAGCCTGATCTCGAGCTCCTGACTTCAGGTGATC